CAACCCAATGGCTAATATAATTCTCAATGGGGAAAAACTGAAATCTTTTACTCTCAAATCAGGTACAAGACAATGATGTCCTCTATCACCACTCCTCTTCAACATAGTTCTGGAATCATTAGCTAGAGCCATTAGACAAGAGGGAGAAATAAAAGGAGTAAGAATAGGTAAAGAAGAAGTGAAACTATCATTGTTTGAAGATGACATGATACTTTATTTGGAAGACCCAAAAAAACTCCACTAAGAAGCTACTAGAGTTGATACACAAATTCAGTAGCATAGCAGGATATAAAGTCAATATCCAAAAGTCAATAGCATTCCTCTACACAGATAACAAACACACTGAGAGGGAAATTAGGGAAACAATACTTTTTATAACAGCACTGAGGAAAATGAAATACCTGAGAATTCATCTCACTAAATAAATCAAAGATCTCTTCACGGAAAATTACAGTATTTTGAAAAAAGAGATAGTAGAGGATTTCAGAAAATGGAAAGATATTCCCTGCTCCTGGGTAGGAAGAACTAACATCGTGAAGATGGCCATATCCCAAAATTGTTGTATAGATTTAATGCAATTCCAATGAGACTACCACCAACATACTCCCAGACCTACAGAAATTATTCCTAAAATTTGTCTGGAATCAAAAAAGACCTAGAATAGCAAAGGGAATCCTGGCCAACAAAGACAAAGCAGGAGGCATTACAATTCCTGACTTGAAATTATACTACAAAGCTACTGTAATAAAATCAGCATGGTATTGGCAACAAAATAGACCTTAGGGTCAATAGAGTAGACTAATAGATGCAGAGGCCTCTAGGAATGCACTCAGCCACCTGATCTTTGACAAAGGGGCCAAACACACTTACTAGAAGAAAAGACAGTCTCTTTAACAAATGGTGCTCGAAAATTTGGCTTTCTACAAGCCGAAGATTAAAACTTGACCCAGGTCTATCACCATGCACTAAACTAAAGTCAAAATGGATTAAAGAACTGAACATTAAAACAGAAACAATCTCCTAGAAGAGAATGTAGGAGGATCTCTTGAAGACATAGGGGTAGGCAAAGAGTTCATGAACAGAAACCAAATCGCATGGGAAATACTTGAAAGAATTAACAACTGGGATCACCTCTTATTGAGAAGTTTTTTCAAGTCAAAAGAAATTATCAACAAAGTGAAAAGACAACCCACAAACATCGAAAAAAATCTTAACTAATAAGCATTCAGACAAAGGTCTGCTCTCTAGAATTCATAAAGAACTAAAGAACATCAGGGCCCCTAAATTTAAGGACCCAATCCAGAAATGGGCATCTGAGATGAACACACACTTCTCAGAGAACGAAATTAAA